GAGAGAGAACAGAGAGGGAACAGACAGAGACCAGACACAGAGAAGAGAGAGAGACCAGCAAGAGACCAGACACAGACCAGACACAGACCAGAGAGAGAGAGACCAGCAAGAGACCAGACACAGACCAGAGAGAGAGACCAGCAAGAGACCAGACACAGACCAGACACAGACCAGAAAAAAAGAGCAGAGAGAGACCAGCAAGAGACCAGAGAAAGAGGGACTGGCCTCATTGAAGCAATATTCGGACACAAAAGAGACTTATTAAACCGGGGGCTAAAACGTGCCATTATGATGTCACAAAGCTGCACCGGTCTGTGCGGTCATTGTTACAGTGAGAGGGAGATTGTGTGAGGGTGTGTGTAACGAGGGTCTGAGCTCTCGTTTCAGCTGCTGCTCCTCATCTGAAGAGCGGCTTGTTAAGAAAACGATCAAACGTTTAGCGGCGCGGCTAAATCTTGAATAATGTATGAACCGCGGTGTCTGGGGGGGCTGTGTGGGGGGGGGGGGGGGGGGGGAGCCAGTGTGGTGTGTGTGTGTGTGTGTGTGTGTGTGCGCGTTTGTGTTTTTGTGTGTGAGAGAGAGATGAGCTGTGTGTGTGAAAGGGGGTCCTCACTTCGTATAACCACTCGTACAGCTAACAGTTCAATCTGAAGAGACCAAAGACACAATTAATACAATAAACTTATTTATTTATTTGGCGCGTTGACCCCGGCAGTGACACTTGCAGCAATGAGATCGATTGCAGCTGAAGATGATCTCAGATCTCCCGGGGTCAATCACTGGTGGTGGCTAGAGTATGGTGTGAATGGGGCGTAGGCGGAACAGGAGCCGGAGTGGGAGCCTAGAGCGGGAGCCAGAGCGGGAGCCAGAGCGGGAGCCAGAGCGGGAGCCAGAGCGGGAGCCAGAGCGGGAGCCAGAGCGGGAGCCAGAGCGGGAGCCAGAGCGGGAGCCAGAAGCCAGAGGGGGTGCTGGGGAGGTGGTGGGTGTTTAAGAGCCTCAGGAAGCGTTGTTTGTCAGGAAGTGGCTGCCTTTTAAACTGCCCGCTTTGATCTGAGAGGGTTGGCAGGAGGCTGGCAGCTCTGTGTGATTGGCTGAGGCTCGAGGCTGGCAGGCACTCAGTCTTTCAGTCTGAACATGCGCATTCAGCTTCATTTACCTTTATTTAATGTCAGAAAAAACTTGTGTGTCTCTGGTCTCTCTCTCTCTCTCTCTCTGGATCTCTCTCTCTGGTCTCTCACTGGTCTCTCTCTAGTCTCTCTATTTGGTCTTTCTGGTCTCTCTGGTCTCTCTCTGATGTCTTTCTCTGGTCTCTCTATGGTCTCTCTCTGGTCTCTCTCTGGTCTCTCTCTGGTCTCTCTCTGGTCTCTCTGGTCTCTCTCTGGTCTCTCTCTGGTCTCTCTCTGGTCTCTCTCTGGTCTCTCTCTGGTCTCTCTCTGGTCTCTCTGGTCTCTCTCTGGTCTCTCTCACTTCAGCAGTCGTGAGTTCAGGTGGTTAGAAAAGTGTTTTTACAGCCGTACAGCTGCTTTTTCAAGGATTTCACTTATTGCAGGTTATTTTTTAGAACACATAACCCCTGCCATAAACCCAGAGCCAAGGAAACCTCTAAAATATCCGTATCGTCAATTAGTGCAATAGTTTCAGCCCTTAACCCTAATTAATTTCAGCCTTTAGAGCCAAATGATAGTGAAAGAAAAGCCAAGACCAGGACTCTCAATAAAACTCATGATGTGATGATGCAAAAAGACGACTGTTCTAACCGGACACGACATGATTTAAATGAGGAGGTCCATGACTCATCCACAGCTTTGACAATAAACAAATGTCCTACAGTCAGAACTTAATATAAGTCAAAATAATAAGTCCATAAACTCTGCTCTGACAAGTCTACCGCAATAGAAATACAAACATTAGCCGCATCTTGCTATAAGCGAAGTAGAAAAAAGTAGCGGCTTTTATTCTGGTAATTTCAGTAAATGCTATATTATTGTCACAAAAGCACACAGCAGGATCCACCCCCCCCCTCTCAGTGCATGAGTGTGTGTGACGCGGTTTCACGCTGGATTAGCTCATCGTTTACGCCTGCACCTCACCACCACGCAGGGCAGGAAGTGTAGAGAAACTGCTCTTCACGCCCGGATTCACCAGAGAGAGAGAGAGAGAGAGAGAGAGAAAGGGGGTCCACCAAACACCAGAGAGAGAGAGAGAGAGAGAGGATCCACCAAACACCAGAGAGAGAGAGAGAGTGGATCCACCAAACACCAGAGAGAGAGAGAGAGAGAGAGGATCCACCAAACACCAGAGAGAGAGAGAGAGAGAGAGGATCCACCAAACACCAGAGAGAGAGAGAGAGAGGCTCTACCAAACACCAGAGAGAGAGAGAGAGAGAGAGGATCTACCAAATGACAGAGAGAGAGAGTGAGATAGAGTGGGTCCACCAAACACCAGAGAGAGAGAGAGGATCTACCAAATGACAGAGAGAGAGAGAGAGTGGATCCTCCAAACACCAGAGAGAGAGAGAGAGAGAGAGAGAGAGAGAGAGAGAGAGAGAGAGAGAGAGTGGATCCATCCATCGAGAGATCAGAGAGACCAGAGAGGGAGCAGAAAGACCAGAGTGACAAACAATGTATTACAGTTCCATTATTGGGTCTGAAAGTCGCATACCCCTGCTTTAAAGGACTCAAAACAATCAATTATGCACAGCCTCAGTCCTGGGTCTACAGCCTCAGTCCTGGGTCTACAGCCTCAGTCCTGGACCTACAGCCTCAGTCCTTGGTCTACAGCCTCAGTCCTGGGTCTACAGCCTCAGTCCTGGACCTACAGCCTCAGTCCTGGGTCTACAGCCTCAGTCCTGGTCCTACAGCGTCAGTCCTGGGTCTACAGCCTCAGTCCTGGGTCTACAGCCTCGTTCCTCGCTGATGCAGGAGGGTCTCAGGACAGTGTTGAATATGTTTGTTATTATTGCATTTCCTGTGTTCGAACTCTTTGATTCTCTGATCTGTTGTTAGTGAATCGACAGCTTTGTAAAGTCCTCGAGACGACTGCTGTTGTGATTTAGGGCGATACACAAATACATGTAATTGTATTGAATAGCGTTTTACTTTTACTTAAGTTAAAGCTGCACTAACTCACTCACTGAAATGTTCGAATGTGAGCGCTGGCTTCTCTCTTTCTGCTGCCCCTCCCCGCACTCACAGAGCTATCGCCCCCCCACTACCCCCTCCCTTCAGCCTGTGCACATGCTAATTGTTTACGGAGGTCACGTCTCACAATATGGATCGCACATTTGAACGTGGCGTGACCATAGAATGACAGAACCGGGAAGCACGGAGGAACGAGACTTTCTTTTGGCTGTTTCTCTGAGTGAGCAGTAACCGGTGACGAAGGCACGGGAAGTTTCAGGTTAGCCTCCGCCGCTTGTTTACCTCAGCTGTCTGTGCTAACAAGAGACCTGTAGCTTTTCTCAAGAAAGTGGGGGCCAGTGGTCCGCTGTGATTGGTCGCAATCTAGACCCGAAACTAATTCTCTTCCTTGTTTCACGAAAACTCGATCTAAAATAAAATGACACGCCAGCACAAATTTTTCTTCTAAAGGACGTATATCCCAATGCACTGCTTGGATATGGATTGAATTTTCGCAATGAATACAACAATAAAGTGAGGTAATGCAGCTTTAAGTTAACGGTAAATAGGAGGATTTTCCCAAAGTTTAGGAAAGAACCGCCCTCTCCACTAGAAAATCCTCCCGTACACCTTTCAGTGAAGTTAAGGACAAATCTCCAGCACGAGCCACATATCTCAGCGGACAGAAGCACAAAGTCTACAATCAGTTTTTGCACAAACTTTATGCAAAACGATTCCCAAAACAAAAGTCATTTGGACAAAAGCAGATTTGCATTTTGACAGTCTGCAGATCAGAGCCATTGTTCTGTCAGATTAGCCACAACAACAGAGCAGTGACGCCTTTGTCTGAAGGAAAGACTCAGAGAAAACAGCACGCTTTAAACTCTACGCTCAGATGTGTTTGTTCTCCACCACTGTTTTTAGAACTACAGCTATTTCTGTGAGAAGACCAGGAATACAAGCAGAACATCATACCAGCGAGAAACAGGACTGTATGTACTCGGTCTCCAGTCTCTCACTCTCTCTCTGTATCCGGTTTCTCTCTGTGGTCCCTCACTTGTCTCTCTCTCTGGTCTTTCTCTGATGTCTCTTGTCTCTCTTTTGCTATCTTTCTGATCCCTCTTTCTCTCTTGTCTCTCTCTCTGGTCTCTCACTTTGATCTCACTCTGGTCCCTCCTGATTCTCTCTGGTCTCTCTCTCTGATCTCTCTTTGGTCTCTCACTCTGGTCTCTCTTTCTGGTCTCTCTTTCTGGTCTCTCTCTCTGGTCTCTCTCTGGTCTCTCTCTGATTTCTCTGCCCTTTCTTTGGTCCCTATCTCTGATCTCTCTGCTCTTTCTCTGGTCTCTCTCTGGTTTCTCTCTATGGTCTCTCTCTGGTCTCTCTCTCTGGTCTCTCTCTCTGGTCTCTCTCTGTCTGGTCTCTCTCTGGTCTCTCTCTATGGTCTCTCTCTGGTCTCTCTCTCTGGTCTCTCTCTCTGGTCTCTCTCTCTGGTCTCTCTCTGGTCTCTCTCTCTGGTCTCTCTCTGGTCTCTCTCTGGTCTCTCTGGTCTCTCTATGGTCTCTCTCTGGTCTCTCTCTCTGGTCTCTCTCTATGGTCTCTCTCTGGTCTCTCTCTCTGGTCTCTCTCTCTGGTCTCTCTCTGGTCTCTCTCTGGTCTCTCTCTCTGGTCTCTCTCTGGTCTCTCTCTGGTCTCTCTGGTCTCTCTCTGGTTTCTCTCTCTGATCTCTCTACTCTTAAAACACAGACCACAGCAGAGAACAGGACATGTAGCACTGAAAAGACAGAGAGAAACCAGTAAAATGGAATGACCAGGATGAGCGTGTGTGTGTGTGTGTTGTGTAGCAGTAAATCCAACGTGGTGCGGTGTGTGTGCGTCACTCACAGGCGTAGGTCATGGAGAAGCTGCTGCCCGTGTCCACCAGGTCCACCTGAGGCTGCAGTCTGGGCACGTCCTGCTGCTGGGACAGGGCGAAGCGGAAGACCTCGTACTCATGAGATCCAGAGGGAAACAAGCCTCCTGAAAGACAGAGGAGGGGTGAGAACCAGACGGAAACAACAGGGTCTACAGCCTCAGTCCTGGGTCTACAGCCTCAGTCCTGGGTCTACAGCCTCAGTCCTGGGTCTAAAGCCTCAGTCCTGGGTCTAAAGCCTCAGTCCTGGGTCTACAGCCTCAGTCCTGGGTCTACAGCCTCAGTCCTGGATCTACAGCCTCAGTCCTGGGTCTACACCCTCAGTCCTGGGTCTAAAGCCCCAGTCCTTGATCTACAGCCTCAGTCCTGGGTCTAAAGCCTCAGTCCTGGGTTTACAGCCTCAGTCCTGGGTCTACAGCCTCAGTCCTGGGTCTACAACCTCAGTCCTGGGTCTACAGCCTCAGTCCTTGATCTACAGCCTCAGTCCTGGGTCTACAGCCTCAGTCCTTGATCTACAGCCTCAGTCCTGGGTCTACAGCCTCAGTCCTTGATCTACAGCCTCAGTCCTGGGTCTACAGCCTCAGTCCTGAGTTTAAAGTCTCAGTCCTGGATCTAAATTCTCAGCTATGGGTCTACAGTCTCAGTCCTGGATCTAGTCTCAGTCCTGGATCTACAGCCTCAGTCCTGGATCTAGTCTCAGTCCTGGGTCTACAGCCTCAGTCCTGGATCTAGTCTCAGTCCTGGGTCTACAGCCTCAGTCCTGGATCTAGTCTCAGTCCTGGATCTACAGCCTCAGTCCTGGATCTACAGCCTCAGCCTCAGTACTGGATCTACAGCCTCAGTCGTGGGTCTACAGCCTCAGTCCTGGGTCTACAGCCTCAGTCCTGGATCTACAGCCTCAGTCCTGGGTCTACAGCCTCAGTCCTGGATCTACAGCCTCAGTTCTGGGTCTGCAGCCTTAGAAAGACCAGAGAGAGAGACCAGAGAGAGACCAGAGAGAGGCCAGAGAGACCAAAGCTTTCTTTGAGACCAGAGAGAGTAAAGAGAAAGAGACCAGAGAGAGGCCAGAGACTAGATAAAGACCAGGGGAAAAGACCAGAGCGAGAGAGACCATAAAAATAATGTAGAGCTTTAGAATCTAATCACTCTAAAATAATGAGGGAAAACAACGGGACACATTTCTGTTAAAACAGGTTCCAACAGAGTTGAAAATACTGAACGCAGTGTATTGTGATGTCACACAACGACAAATGAGACCCAACACAAACGCGAGAAATGTCCAAACGCCACAGAGACGTTCACATAGTTATCTTCCCCTACATTTTACTGCCGTTTGGGCCGTTGCCGTGGCGACGCCGGTGTGAAGTGCACCATATTGCATTTTCTGAAAGTGACAAATATTGTCTGCACTCGGAGCGGTTGCCAGATCTGTGGAGGAAACGAGCAGGAAGTCACGGGAAACCCACGACTTCAGCAGAATGTGTGTGTGTGTGAGTGTTTGTGCGTGTGTGTGTGTTTGTATTTATGTGTGTGTGTGTGTATGTATGTTTGTTTGTATGTATGTATGTGTGTGTTTGTGTATGTATGTTTGTTTGTATGTATGTGTGTGTGTATGTATGTTTGTTTGTATGTATGTGTGTGTGTATACATGTATGTATGTTTGGATTAAGGGGAAGAAAATGAATGGATGGATGGATGTGTGTGTGTGTGCATATGTGTGTGTATGTGTATGTATGTGTGTGTGTGTGTATGTATACGTGTGTGTGTGTGCATATGTGTGTGTATGTATATATGTGTGTGTGTATGTATACGTGTGTGTGTGTGCATATGTGTGTATGTATGTTTGTATGTATATGTATTTGTATGTATGTATGTATGGATGTGTGTGTGTGCGTGTGTATGTGTATTTGCGTGTGTCTAGGTGTGTGTATATGTATGTAGGGGTGTGTTTGTATGTGTGTGTGTATGTGTATGTATGTAAGTATGTGTGTGTGTGTGTGCGTGTGTATGTGTATGTATATGTGTGTACTTGTGTGTATGTGTGTGTGTATGTATGTGTATGTGTGTGTATGTGTACGTGTGTGTATGTGTGTGTGTGTGTGTGTGTGTGTGTGTGTGTACGTGTGTGTATGTGTGTATGTATGTACTGTATGTGTGTGCGTTAAAGCTGAGGTACATAACTTTAGTTTCACATAGAGTGTCTTCCTCTCATTATAAATCATGTGCTTTTGAAAGAAAGAACCCTGTGAGTCACTATTCGACTCTTTGATCTGATTGGCCGAGTGAGGGGGGTCCTCTCTTTACTCTTCTGTCTGATTGGCTGAACTGAAGATGTGACAGAGACAGAAATACATGATGTAAAAACGAGTGCACTAGAAGGAGCTCGTCTATTGTTTATCCCAGAGTTCTATCGTGTGGAGTGAAAGTTACGTACCTCAGCTTTAACTGCATCTGACATATGTTTTATAAAGGCTAAACACAGAGGGGATTGCTCGCTCATGATCTCTATTAAATTCCCTCCTGCAAGATTGATTTGTTTGAATCCCTTCATTTCTCACATTTCTTTATAAACTTTTCATGTTCAAATGCTGTGAATATATCAGTGCCTCCTCATGCATCTGATCTGCAGCAACAACACACTCAAACTACATAGCAACAACTTTATGGATCTATAATAATAACTGGATAGGGTATTACTAGCTTACAGCTGTCCCACCCATGGCCACAGGGGGCGCTGTGGTACTGCAGACTAAATTAACACGGGCCACCCAGAAAAAAGTCCCATAGAACTCAATGTAAATTAAAACAGCTCAACCTCAGCTGACAGAGAACCTGACAGAGAACCTACAGCTTAAATAAAGATCGGATTTTGTGGGGATGTTAGTGTCCCTTGTCATCCTGAACATTTTTTCTTCTTAAATCCTTCGGTTTTCTTTAAATCCACACTTTACTGCCACAACTCTGCTCGTTTCCTTCCCGCTCGGCTGCTGCTCTGATCAGCAGCTCTGATTGGTCAAAGCGCGGCCCGAGCCCCTCTGTGCACGTGCATGAGACCCACAAACACGTATTTGGCGCAAAGCATCATGGGAGTTCGTCCATTGTGCAGAACCGGGAGGACCAGACGATGCCCAAATATAGGTGAGTTGCACTAATCTTTTGGTCTCCGTGAAGTCCCCTGTGCTACTGAGCACAGCCATTTGAACTGGCCGCCATCTTGGATCACCGGGGCTTGACAACAACACACCCAAACTAAAAACAATAAACTCAAACTAACAACAATATTTATGCATGCCTTCTTGTTTTTATTCTGATTTAACTTGTTTGCACCGAGAGCCAAAGCAGTTTCCTAGTTTGTGACTTCCTGTTACTCACATGGGAATAAAAGGATTCTGATTCTGACAATATCATGGAAATGTGATGTCACAAAATCCACACGAGGAAATACTCAATACCAGTGTGAGGAGAGTACTCCAGAAATGATTCTGCAATTTGTTACAGAGAGACTAAAGACGGACCAGAGAGAGACCAGAGAGAGAGAGACCAGAGAGAGACCAGAGACACTGACGAGAATGACTAGACCGATCAGAGACCAGAGAGAGACCAGAGAGAGACCAGAGAGGGACCAGAGAGGGACCAGAGAGGGACCAGAGCGAGACCAGAGAGAGAGAGACCAGAGAGAGACCAGAGAGAGAGAGACCAGAGAGAGACCAGACCAGAGAGAGACCAGAGAGAGAGACCAGAGAGGGACCAGAGAAAGACCAGAAAGAGAGAGGGACCAGAGAAAGACCAGAGAGAGACCAGAGACACTGACAAGAAAGATCAGTGCAATCAGAGACCAGAGAGAGACCAATCAGAGACCAGTGAGAGACCAGAGAGAGTCGCATTTATATGAACCACTGGCTCAGTGCCTGCACCATAGAATTCTATCATGTGGAGTGACAGACTTACAATCTCAGAGTTTATAACAAAACATTACATTCTCTAAATTTAACTTAGCAAACAAGGAATCAAAGTCAAATCGTTTAACATATCTGTACAGCCTCAGTCCTGGGTCTACAGCCTCAGTCCTGGATCTACAGCCTCAGTCCTGGATCTACAGCCTCAGTCCTGGATCTACAGCCTCAGTCCTGGATCTACAGCCTCAGACCTGGGTCTACAGCCTCAGTCCTGGATCTTTGAGTAGTAACTCGCCGATGCTGATGATCCGGGAAATGTATTAACGTTTCTATGTGTTTGTTTTTACTGTTTATTCTCTATTCTGTTGTCAGTGAATCAACAACTTTGCATTTTCTCTGAGACGACTGCTGTTGAATTACATCACTGTTTGATGAGGTTTTAGATCAATGTCATTCAAAAACGCCTTAGAGTCAAAAGTAAAAAATCTCGCAATATTGATACTTTCTTAGTGTTAGAGCTGAGTGTAGATCTGAGTTTAGAGTTTCCAGTCGTCTCAGCGCTGCAGTAAAGTGAAACGATTGTAAATGTGTGATGAAGTCAGATCAGAGGCTGTGATGAAGACGCGCTCCTCTCACCGATGTTGATGACTCCGGGGAAACTCGCGGCTCCCGACAGCGGCAGCGGCGCGGTCAGCAGCAGCACCAGGAGCGCGGTGAGGAGCGGTGTCCACGCGGAACCAGGGCGGCAGAGAGGCGACCGCATGTTGAGAATCCCATGCGCACCGTCCGTACTGTACTCTCATGCGGACATGGTCACTCCCACACGGGACTGACCACAGCGGCAGGACGCGGCAGGAGCGGCAGACGCGGCAGAGTGCGCGCGGCAGAACTCCTAACTCACCTCCTCCTCAGCCTCCTCCCTCTCCTCTCTCTCTCCAGTGCATTCCTCCACAGCAGTTTATTAAAGGGGACATATTGTGGTGGTACGTGTACGTAACTTTTGTCTCTTTCATAAATAACAAATATGGTCCATCCAACAGAAAGAGTTTGTAAAAGTCAAAAATGTAACAAATCCCATCATTTGGGTTTAGAGCTGATCGGATGAGCGACAGCGGTCCTCTCTTTTTCATTACTTTTTTTTGAAAAATATGACATAAAAATGAGACAGAGCCCAAAAAACAGAACCAAAAACCAGAGAGAGACAAGAGTGAGACCAGAGAGAGACCGGAGATTGAGGGACCATAAAGAGACCAGAGAGAGCACAGAGGGGGAGAGACTAGTAAGAGTTTCTAGATAGAGAGACCAGAGAGGGACCAGATAGAGAGCAGAGAGAGAGACCAGAGAGAGAAACACCGGAGAGAGGCCAAAGAGAGAGACTGGAAAGTGACCAAGGAGAGACCAGAGAGAATCGCATTATGATGGACAAACATCAAAGTGCAAAGTTTATTTTTTTTTACTCTAGCGCCCTCCAGAGCATTATGGGAGAATGTTTTTGGAAATAAATGTTCACCTCAAACCTTCCGACTGTGGAAACGGTGAGTTGTGTCGGAGGTGCACTGGTGCCAGTTTGGGATCACGCACTGACTTTGAATTCTGGTCACAGTCAAAACACTGAAACCAGAAGTGACATCTCCTGGGACCAAAGCAGATGGCGGGCCGTGAAAAACCGAGGGGGGTCGACCGATTATATTAATATTGTTAGGTAACGGACATTTTTTAAAATACTTTTTACAGAGTCTGTGAAAAAGAGGAGAGGATGTAGTGGGAACTTTATTCTCTTTCTGGGCGGCACGGTGGCAGAGTGGATAGCACTCTCGCCTCTCAGCAAGAAGGTCCTGGGTTCGAATCCCGGTCGGACCAGGGCCTTTCTGAGTGGAGTTTGCATGTTCTTCCCGTGTCTGCGTAGGTTTCCTCCGGGTGCTCCGGTTTCCCCTACCACTAAAAATATGTCCAATAGTTCTAGCATGTGCCTCCTGTACTGGCGACCCCGCTCCCATCTCTGTGTGGAGTGAGAGACAAATGCCCAAAAATTAACAATTGTAAACCGCTTTGAGACTCAGATCTGCAGTGAAAAGGCGGTATATAAATAAAGATTACTTACTTACTACTTACTTTCTGGTCTGTCTCTCTGGTCTCTCTCTAGTTTCTCTCACGTCTCTCTCAGTCTCAAGTCTCTCTCTGGTCTCTCAGGTCTTTTTCTGGTTTCTCTCTGGTCTCTCAGGTCTTCTCTTTGGTCTCTCCCTGTGGTGTCTCTCTGGTCTCTCTCAAATCTCTCTGGTCTCTCAGATCTTGCTCTCTGGTCTCTCTCTGGTCTCTCTCTGGTCTCTCTCTGGTCTCTCTCTGGTCTCTCAGGTTGTTAGGATTCAGGCAGACAGAGACGGATCGTGGTGTGCCAAACTCTGGAAGTTTATTTAAGTTTCTCTCAAGTTCCACTAGTTTACTCTGTTTCTTTCCCTCAGACAGAATAAAGGCAGTACACAGTTTATATAGTCATTGTCACGTCACACATCGAAAGACATACGTGTCACAAAGAGACAGTCACATCATAGTCATAACATGGAGTCCTTGTAGAGTCCTTGTACAGTCCTGCACGTAGGCCATATTGCTATCTAATACTAATACCCTCCCCTTTGATCACATAATCACATGTGATCACTCAAATTGATCAATCAATAAAGTGGAAAAAAGAAGAAAAAATTCCAAAAAAAACTTCAAACAATTATTAAAAACAAAGAAAATGTATGCATTAAACTCATAATCATCAAATCAATATCAGTGGATTTTATCCTCTATCCTGGGAAAAAACAAAAAACAAAAATAAAGTAAATAAACAAACAAAAAACAAATCAAAAATAAAAACAAACAAAAATAAAAACAAACAAAAATAAAAAACAAACAAAAACTATTGGACACAGTAGAACTCAGCAGATTCAGTCAAAACACAGACAAAAACGAGCTGAGTCTCAAATTAGAAGCTAATTTAACTTTTCTTACTCTATACTTTTATTCTAATGATAATTGTTTACACTACACTTCACTTATTTCACTGTATTATTTTCACTTTTCAATCTTAGACTGTGTACTTTACTTTCACTATTCACTATAGTTTAAAACTATTCTAATCTATTCACATAAATCTCTCTGTTCTGTGGTTTACACTCTAATTATCAGTGGCATATTATTAGTGGGATTTTGCTCCATGTCTACTCTCATTCTCAGGAATAAAACTGTGAACACAGTAAGGCAAATGGTCAACATTTACACTTCTATAGTGGTCAGTGATTTATTACTTTTTATTATCTAAAGATATTATTGTCAGGCAGTTTGGGATGAATGTACATCATTAATCAAATTAGTATTATCCTAATAGTAGCTAATTATGTTTGGGGTTGGGGTCAGTTATTCTACAATGGTGTTTGTGCTGGAAACTTCTCAAAGATATCCAAATATCTACTATTGTGTTTTTGTGCTACACCCAAATGCATCAAAATGCTTTTAAATGCTTTTGAATCTCTGTTGGTGCTAATCTATCTCATTGATCTAGGCATTAATCTAGGCTACACTCATATGGACTTTTTGCATTGTCAACATTCACTCATGTGTGAACACAAGTGAATTTGGCAAGTATCTAATAAAACTGTACATAAAACTGTAAGTAACTTTATCTACTTTTGAAGTAAATGCTTGTGAAATGGTCCCTTTACCATTTGATATTAGCACTGGCTACAAATAATCTCTATTTTTGAAAGCATCTATGGTTGATGCATTTATCTAATTCTATATCTACACTATTGTGACTCTAAAGTTTGGCTGCAGTTTGAGCAAAGGCATATTCCTAATTTGTGACTTCTGTCACTTTTAATATCTCTAACATAACTCTGATTCTAATATTCTAGCTTATCTATCAAAAGGATAACATTGTAGGGTACTATTTTAACTCTTATGTGGAAATGTGTTTATGAACAACAAAGAAAGGACAATTCTACTTTTTTACTACTATTTAACATCTACTAAAACGCTACAATACTCATACTTTATCATTTTCAAAGTTTTTGTCTGTCAGATGTCTGAATACTTAACATGTATATTGCATTTGGTCACAGGTTCTGGTTGTAGCAATAGCATCGGCAATAGACGTTTTCATTGGCTGGTTCTTGTTCTGCAAATGGCTGTGTCCAATAGATCATCAGATGTCCAGAAGCTAGGGACAAACAAAAACAAAAGAAAGAATCATGAGTATCTCTCTCATTTAGCACTCATCTATGTATGATTTTAAAAATATAAACATCACTCCCCAGTTTTCTCTCTCAGGTCCTCAGGTCCTCAGATCCTCAGATCCTCAGGGTCCCCTGAGGGTGAGTCTCAGTCGTCATCAGGTCAGGTCATATTTCCAGAGATGTCATCTTGGACATCAGTAGGGTCCAAGCCATGGTTCTGGTTCTCCAGTTGGACATCGGATCTCCAGATACAGTCTTTTCAGTTGAAGCACATCTGGTCAATGGTGCAGTGTCACAGTTCCTGTACACAGCTTGTAATGCAATAGTTACTCTCTATGGTTAAGTCATTTTGATTCTACTTTAACACAATTTCTATTCATGCTGTTGCTAATGTCCCTTAGACAAAAGGCAAGCGCAATGATTCAGTTTACTTCTCTAATTTGTGTTTTTATCAGATCTAATTCTAATCAATTACTTCACACAGTACAAAATCAACAAATCAAAAGTGTCAGGACAGACGTCAATTAAGTCCATGACAATATAGAATTCAAATGAACATTTCTGGTCTCAAAAATACTGATTCAAGTGATAGACAATTAAAAATATGTGTTTACATTGGAGTAAACTTTTAAAATGCTTTTTTCTCATGTTCTGCTTTTTCATGTATCTATATGTAAATGTGAATGTGTGAGTGTATGTGTGTATGTGTGTGTATGTGAATTTTGGGGTTGTCTCTCCAGACTCCACGAACCACCTGTAGGTCTCAAAGGTCACACTGTGGTGATGTAAACCAACTGACACACTTTCAACTCCCTCTAGGTCTCTACCTGACGCTCCACCCATCACGTCTCCAGATACCTCTCTTTCATGGCCCCGGTCTCTCTCACACCCACTCAGTTCTGCAGTGGCGTGGGGAGGGGCAAGGAGGTGGCATTTTCCTTTGCTCTTTGATCTGTGACCTGTGGCTGGGTGGGCTTTGCGCTGTCCAGTGTCCAGCAGTGACCCCTCCCACAGTGTGCCAGAGTCTGAAAAACAATCCTTGAAACAGCCAATTTAAAAAAACAATAGATATCAGTATGCGAATGAGATTGTTTTTCTCTCTGAAGTCAAAACAATTTGAGCGCTCTGGGTTTTCCCAAGCGCTATGTAAATAAAGATTACTTATTCTCTTACTAATTATGACATTTTTAAGACCAGAAACTAAAGAAGTTATCAAAACAACAATTATACTCAAAACAAACAACCTTTTAAACTTTAAAACATGTATTATATACTTTTGTACTGTGTGATTAATTATCTATGCGTCCTTGGGTTTCTTGAAAGACGCCATGAAATGAAATTATGAAAAATCTCTATAAAAATGAACATTAATTTGTAAAAACATTTAAAACAAAACTTGAAATCAAACAAAAGATTTAGCTCCAGCTAAACTGGATTTGGTTCAATAAAACTCAATTGTGCGTCGGAGCTGCCTCCTCATGTCTCTGAGCAGCAGCAAGGTCACGCGTGTAGTCAAAACAAAAACAAAAGTCACCTTAGCTTTGCT